GGTGAAGTTTGGGGGACAATGTCAACCTTGTTCTCAGCACATAACTTCCAGAGCAGATAATAAGTGAAGAAAGACGGAAGCCTCCTTAGTGATTGCTCAAATGCTTGTTATGCCTACTTACACTTGATAGTTCATAAGGAATTGATTTTGATCCTAGTGGCAGGTACTTTGGGAGGACCCTGGAAATGAGCACCTCCTTACAGACACCGTGAGGACACACTTATTTCCTCTAATCCTCGCCCCACTGCATAACTCTTTTTCTGCATGTTCTACAGGTCTGGCATTTTAATTCCTGATTCTTCTTCAGTATCTCTTAAGGGATAAACTCTTTTCTTTTAAAGTGTCATCATTAGATTTACTGTCCTTTTCACCACAATTGATTATTTTGGTCACTGAAATAAATACAGGCATAAAATTCTCTGATGTCTAATGTTTATAAAAATAACACTGATCTTTGATAGGGTACAATTACCATATATCAGGTACTGGGCTCAGTACTGCAAATACAAGCAAAGATCATGTCTATATAACATACTGTCATCCTTATCATAGAGTCTAATCCATGGTATTCGTTCAATATTGTTTAAGTGGAAGAAGAATGGGTAGGTGGGTGGGTCAATAGATAGAGGAACAGACAAACAGGTAAATTAAAGAAGGCAAGGATGGATAGATGGTTCGATGGATAGATGGTATGATGGATGGATGGGTGGATGGATGGGTGGGTGGGTGGATAGGTATAACAAATACACAGGTGGGTGGACAGCAGAGGGCCCACTTACATGAGAACTCTACAGATCGTAAACTGTCAAGAGCATGAAGAAAACATCAGCTCTTGTTTTCTCCCTGTCTCTCCTTTCCACAGTGTTCCAACTGGACTGAAAGCAAAAGAAAAAGCCTAAAAGGATCTAGACTGAGGATATTTGAGGATGTTAGTTGAGCTGGAAAAACTAAAATTTGCCAGCTTCCAATCTGTCCTGGTAATGTCACACAGGCAGAAAGAATTCTTGGAAGGAACAATATTTATTGTCATGTCAGCTTCTGCCAAGCCCCCAGGCAAAATTCCAAAGGACACGGCATGTCTTTGCCAAAATCTCTTCCTTTCTAATATTCTGTGCCCTCCATACACAGAAATCTTCATGGCAACTTTGTCTTTCCAAATTCCTTCATCTTAGGCTACCTCCTCTGAGGATACCTCACAGCCATATTACCAGAGAGCCTTGTTAATTTAATTTATACTAACGTGTGAATGAGGGCTGCCATCCCTACAACATTGTTAACTAAGGCTACACTAATCCAAATACCATCTTCACTAGTAGAGAAGGGAGAAGACATTCCTAGGAAGAGCTGTAGTAGAAGTCTATCCAGAAGATGGCTCAGCAGGTGTTGGAGTTCACTCAGCAAACCTGGTGAGCTAAGTTCAAACCCCAATAAAAGCTAAGGAGGAGAACTAACTCTACAAAGCTGTCTGCTGATCTTCACAGTGCTGTGGCACATGCAACACTCTCGTGCACACATATCACATCCAGAGTGACATAACCAGTTAGAAATTTTAAAGAACTCTATAAATCTACCCCATTAGTATCCTACCTGGCTACAATCTACAGTTTCTCTGCCCTGAAACATCATGGCTTCTAGCGCTTTCCAGAATTCTGCTTCCTCCTCTGTCTCTGCTAACATGCCCCATGTTTCCAGCTCATGTAAAAAAGTTGGATGCACCTGTTCATGGAATCCTGCTCTTCCTATCAAAATAATGCTTCAGTTATTGTTGTGGATTGTATCTCATGCCTTCCCTGCTAGACCCTACAATCTCGGAGGGCAGGATGCCCACATCCTGCCAATCACAGAAAGCCGGAACCTAAGGAAGGTATGAGGTAGAGAAGCTTGGTCACAAAAAAGTTATATGCATAAAAATGCACAAGAAAATTATATTCATTTATACTTGTACAATTGTGCATATAAGCATGACCCATTATAAGATGTAGAAATCACAGCAATGAAAAACTCTAAAAAGAGCTTCGGAGGGATTCATCCATGTCTTCTGACTTGAAGTCTGCTATCTCTAAGCTCTTGGTTTTCCAATATGAAGGAAAAACAAGAAAATCTTTATTTTTACTTATAGTTAAGCTCAGTGATCAGGAAACCTGGAGTGCTTTTCTGATGCAAGTCCTACAGTCCTTTTCAGGCTAGTCTTGAGAAAATTCCTCAACTCACAATTCTCTGCAGGTTCACCAACCCCACCATGACCAGCCTTGGCATGATCACCTCTAAACAACACAGTATTTTCATTGCAGTACAATGTCCCAAGGATTGGTCATGCTTGTGACTGCCAAGGAGAGTGAGCCTGCTCTACCAAGCTCAATTACCAATGCATGTAATGAGTGGTGTACATTCTGACCACGACCATGACAGAGCCAAGGTACAGAAGAAAATCAGAACTAGAATGTGATTACATTTTAAAGAAAAGTTCCCAGCACTGTTCATGGGAGAAATAATTGCTTCAGAAAACAAACTCCCACACAACAGAAAAATCTAGAACTTAAGAGGACATCATATATAAACAGCAAATTCCAAAGAAACAACATGACTTGCTACTTCATAGTTGTGTGTTTAGTTTTATACGCATTAATTATACTTTAATTTCTATGTCAATATGTGTTCTTCTTTCATACAATAAAGTTCTTCAGATCCATTCGTTTGTTCCCCAGAAGGTAATGAGAGGATAATAAAAATATTACTTGTCCCAGTTGATTCTTCTGTCAGTTAAAGAAGGAAAATTAAATACATATAGAAAGCAAAATCAGCTGGGAAGTGGTGGCTTATGATTTTAAACCCAGCACTCGGAAGGTAGGTACAGCAGATCTCTGTGTGTTCAAGGCCAACCGGAGCTAGTACTAGGGCAGCCAATGCTACACGAAGAAACCTGTCTTTAAAAATACAACAACAACAAGAAAGTAGAAGTAGACAGGTTTTATTGTTAAGCATTACAGTAATGAGGTATTTAGGTAAAAGTAAACTAGAATGCTATGCTTGGTGACACATGCCTATAATTCTCGTACTTTGGGAGGCCAACATAGGGTTGTGCGTGTGAAGACAGTTTAGGCTATTGATCTAAGCAGGAATCACAGGCCAAAGCCCCTGCTCAAACATTGCGTCTATCCTTTAAACGCTTTCCAGCTTGTAAATGTGATGTTTGGGCTTGTCTTGTTTTGCCTTGTAAGAATGGAACCAAAATGCAGTGCTTTAATGCCATCTACTCCCATGCCCAGCCCACGCTCACCCATCCTCTTAGCATCACTGCACTATAGTAGTCCTGAAGATTAAACCAGCCGTGGCTAGTATCTTCCTTCGTTTTGTCCAAGATTTGAACTGAGCCCTTCCTCAGTTACACATCTCTCAAAGCAAGCTCACTTTGCTTTCTAGTATAGTAGTAACAAACATTGAGCTGGCCTCCTGCTCCTTTGGTACTGGACTAAATTTCTGTTCTGCTGACCATGATCCTTCTAACCACACTGGACATCCTTCAGGCTATTGCAGCATGTGATTGTGCTTCTCCATTCCTGATCCCAACACCCATCAATGGTCCTGTCAGAGCAGGTGGCTGGGACACGTGCTGGAGGCAAACCTTCTTTCTAACCTGATCCTCCTTATAAAAGCAATTTTGTATTCCCAGGCAGGAGATCACAGTTGCCTACTCCTACCAACCACAACCTGCAAGATAGCAGCTGGATAATATTAAACCTTTATTTCCTTTTACTGTATCTACTTTGTGCGCCACTGCCCTTGAACTTGAATCCATTAGGCATTATGACCCTCGGTTGAGGCTATGGAGCATCTCTCTGGCTGATGCCACCCACACAGCATTTAGACCAGCCATTTCCTCCTGTGGTGTTGTGTTAACACTCCTAGCCTGCTGTGTTTTCTTCTCATAGCTTTTCAACTAGGCTTCTCCAGGCCCCTGTATTCAGGCTGAGATGCTCATTTTTCCTGTGAGTTTCAGGCGATGCCAGACATTACCTGTGCTGCCAGCCTCTCTGCCAAATTGGCACTCTCTAGGAGGACAGCTTCGGAAACTAAGCCAAAGCAATCCACTTCACTAAGCCAAACCAACCTCCTTGAAGCTAGAGACAGCGCTCTGGTGTGAAAATGCACTTTCTGGTACTTAGTCGTCCAAACCCCACCCCACACCACAGGTCTGCGTGCCTCACAGAGCATCCTTAAGAACTTGTAGCCTGCTCTCACGTGTGAAAATTCCTTTCTAGGCACTCACATGTCACTTCCTCCTGTTCTTCCTCACACTTGTCCCCTCGGAGTTTTGAGAAGAATCTACTTTGCTTTCATCTGAAGCAGTAAGTCAAACTAGTGATACCACGGACCCCAAATTACCCCATTTGCTCAACACCCCATTACCCTGGAATACCTAAGGAACCGCTCTTCTGTGAATAGGCATGTGTGTGTTTTGTGTTTAGTTCCCTCACACACACACACATGCAGGTCTGTGTTAATGGTACAGTTCTCAGTAGCATAGAATTGAGACCAGCAGGCCCTGAATTCTCCTACCCATTTGGCAATAGTCATCCACTCCTCTTGGAAGTTTCTCAAAACTCAGGGGAAAAAAAGTAAAGAAAAAGAGGAAGGTTGAAAATAAGGCAGATGTGACCCATCTTTTTGGCATTCTTCCAAACCAGACACTACTAGACACATTAGGATTTCCCGGTAGCCACCAAAAGCAAGCACCCATTGCCCAGGACCTGACAATCGAGCCCGTGTGCCAGGGTGCTGTATACCCGGTTAAGAGTTGAATACATGCAAAATCTAAATGAGCAGCTGTTATTAGTGACGCCAGGACAGAAGGAATACACAGATAACGCAGAAAACTGGAGAACGAGATACCCCCAAAACCTTGGTTTCTCAATTGTCACCTAGACTGAGCCGCTGCAGAAGCGCCAGGCCTGGTCCCCTCCCGCCGTGCCCCCAAGGTCGCCCTAGGGGCGCCTCCTTACCTTGCGCGAGTAAGGGGGTTTGCTCAGGTGGATGCCATCGCGGACCAGCTTATCCCGGATCATGATCTTCAGCTTCAGTTTCGGGTAGCTCACCAGCTCCCTGCTGCGGGGAGCGCTCGGCTGGGCACGGGGGTCCCCGCGAGTGCCCTGGGCTGAGCTGCCACATGGCTCCCCCCGGCGGCCTGGGGGCACTGCGTCCACCAGCGGTGCCGGTGGCACGGGCTGCGGTTCCAGTGTGAAGTAAAGGCCCGCAGCGGCCGCGTCCTGTTCCCGCAGCCGGTGCACAGCCTCCAGGATGCGCCGGCGGTGCGCGGGAGCCAGAACCCCGATGGCGTCCAGGTCCGGGTCTCCGATCTGCTTACACACTTCCAGGTCATCGTAGCCATTATCCACGAAGGACTCAGCGTACTGAGGGAGCTGTAACGCTTTCAGCCACTCGTAAACTATGTTGGTGCACATGGCTGAGACTCGGAACTCGCCGGAGAGTACCCAAGTGACACGGGCGGCACCAGTTCTTGCAACTTTTAATCCTCTCCTGGTTGGGGGTGGGGAGAAGAAACGGCAGGAAAAGTTTCTCCCGTTAGTGGTTAGGCTCCGGCCGCAGAGTCAAAGCCATGGGAAGCAGCCGGGAAGGGAGCGAGCATGAACGAGGAGCGTCTAGCAGCGAAGTGGATTCCCCGAGCAGGCGCGGCGCTCGCGGGCACAGGCGGCTGGGCGAGCGGCTCGGCTCCGCGCCGCCCCTGGATGCGCGGCCACCGCAGGGAGGGGCGCGCAGGCGGGGCCGGGCACACCCCTCGCACCCCGCGCTGGTCACCGTCGCGCCGCGCCGCCCAGGAGGTTCCCCAGATGGGGCAGTCCGGGAGCTGCTCGCTGCATGTCGCTTTCTGGCCGCCTCCGTGGACGTCTGCACCCTGGACCCACGCCGTGGAGGCGGCTCTGGCGGGCAGACCCGTGGATGCTGACGAGCGCCTGGTCTGTGCGCTTGTCAGTCACTGTCGTTCCCGGGGTCACGGTGACCCGGTGGCTATTAAGCTTCCGGACTCTGGTGGCTGCCCTGGATATCTTTCGACATTTCTTTTGAATCCGACTTCTCCAAACCCCTAGATTTCTCTTCGCTCAGTTCCCAAGCCAGTGGTGACTCTCGCCCGGACGTCCAAGGGCAGGACCCCGCCACCTCACTGGGCTGAGCGAAGCTGTCCAGTGTCCCTTCTCCTTTCCCGATGCACGTAGAATGTCCCTTCAAAGGAGCAAGCTGCTAGGCTTCACTCGCACGGCTTGTCAGCCTCTGTGTTCCTGCGCTCTGTGCCCCGAGCAGCTGCGTTTTGGCAACAGGGTGGGCGCAACGTGGGGACCGTCCAGCCCGATGGGCGCTCGGCCCCTCCTCGTTACAGCTAGTAACATCGGGTGGGCGTCGGGAGGGGCACGGCTGCTCCCGATTGCCTCTCCCTTCCAAGGCCAGCTGATCTGCGAAAGTTTGGGGTGGGTTACTTTCTCCTCGGCCAGAGCATCTCTATCTGATCGGCATCCCTCCCCACCCCCACCTTCCTTCCCGCCACACAAGCACACCGGGTTGTGTCAACTGCCCCCCTCCCCCCAATCTCCCCTGCCTTGTGCTTTCTCTACACCTCTCATCATAGCCCTTCTGCCCCGGGTGGCTCCATGCCCAGGGACAAGTGCGCTTTTCTGCCCCTGAGACAGAAATCACAGCAGACTCCCCCTTCTCTGCCCCAGGATCGGGTGTTAATCGATACACCCACCACCATGCAGCTTGCGTTAAAGAGAACGCTAGGGCATCGAGCACTTTTGCCTAGATAGGAGTAACAAAAATAACCGAGGTTCCCCCCTGGTGCCCATGTCCCAGCTTTGAAGGGGGTAGGGGGTGGGAAGGGCGAGGACAGGAGCTCCTGGGCTGCATTTCCCTGAGTCTGATCTTTTGGGGAAGAAGATAGAATCTTAAGAAACCTTGCAAGCAGCAACAATTTCCTTCCTTTTCACAAAAGTAGCATTTAGCTTCACTCTTTTTTTTTTGTTGTTTTGTTTTTTTTTTTTTTGAGACAGGGTTTCTCTGTATAGCCCAGGCTGTCCTAGAACTCACTCTGTAGACCAGGCTGGCCTCGAACTCAGAAATCCGCCTGCCTCTGCCTCCCAAGTGCTGGGATTAAAGGCGTGCGCCACCACCGCCCAGCTTTAGCTTCACTCTTGAGCTAGACCTGACCCAAACCTTTCCTGAAGGAGTTCTCCGGGGGCCATACCTGTCATGACACTGATGATGACACTGCCCATCAGTGGTTGTAGAATTGTTTCCCCTGTCTCCAGGACCTTTGGCTGTGGGTAAGGGACTCTCTGTGCCACGTTTCCTCTAAATAGTGGCGCTTAAGCCCCTCTTAGGACAGAGACACTGAGAATCAAATTCATTCCTTCTCTCAAATTCATTCCTTCTCTCTTCTCTCCTCCCTCCCTCCCGGCCGGCCTCCCGCCCAAGAACACGCCATAAAAAAAAAAAACCCTCTCTCTCTCTCTCTCTCTCTCTCTCTCTCTCTTTCTCTTCCCTTATGGCCTGGAAAATACCTGATATGGGTGCACCCAAAATGCTTCCTGTATTTTTGCAGTTGTGGGGGGCCTGGGTGCTGAGTCCCAAGCTCCTGGATCCAAAAATCTCACACTGAAAAATAGCTACCAGTAAGAACCTTCTATTTGGGAAGGGGGCAAATATAACGCGGGTAGTCTTGGAGCTGTATCTGTCCGCAGTCCTAGATCACCCGAGTCTCGGTTTCCAGAACCTAGATTATGGTTCTGTCCCCGGAGCAATGCTCTGGGTTGTCCCGACCCTCCCTACACAGCACAGATTATAACTTGCCCTCCGATCCTTGCCAAAGCAAGCTCACAGTGCCCTCTTGTGTCCAAGTGCTGGAATTTTAAGGCGTTGCCCAAGTCCCAAACTTGTTTTGTTCAGGTGAAGGAAGAGGGCTTTGTGGTTCCTATTTGCGTCTTAAAGTATAGATAATCTCCTCACGTGTACCTTTATATCTCAGTGCTTTGTCATGAAACCTTTGGGTTTTGGAGAGATGAGTATTTCAGTATTTTCAAAATAATTATGCTGCAAGGGAACAGAAGTTCTCCAAAAAATACTTCTTCGGAAGTTGGTATTGTAGGCCATGCATCTCCATTAATGTCCAAATATATGTGGCTACTGGTTGTATTATCCACTATCTTATAGAAAAAGAAGATACATCTGTGAAACATTCCCTCCTCATTTGTTCACTATAGGGTAAGGGGTAGAGAACTATGAAGAAAGAAACCCAGGGCCAGGCTTCCAACCACTGGACTTCCAGTTCTCCCGGCAGTTGCTAGAGGAACCAGCAGGAAGCCTTGGGCTGGTTATAAAAGCTGAGTCTTTTATTTATTTCTGCTGTTTGTTTGGTTTTTAGAAAAGGAAGCTTAAAGCTCTTGAGTTTATTGCCGTGGCTTTTCTTTCCCAACTTGTTGAAGAAGTCCAATAACACTACTTAATAGTCCTTTGCTTTCTCAAACACAGCCTCTTCCCCTCCGGGAGCTTCGGGACATTCATTTCGTCTCGTTAATCTTCAGCAAGCCAGTGAGTATTTTTATTTCCATTTTACAATTAGGGAAACTGTATTGGAGGAAGATGAATGTCTTGCCCAAGGTCATATGGTAAATCAGGATAGAGACAAGAACAAGCCTGTCTTGTTGAAGCACCTCCTCTGCCGTAGGCTTCAGGGATTCTCCTTTATTTAGGGTCGGAGCACTGTGCAATTAGGAACTAAAGCATCCTGTGCTCTTGGGGGGGGGCAGCTTTTATGAATTAATCATTTGTTAATCAGTCATAAATAAAATCTCGCTTTTGACCTCTCCTTTTCCTCTCTCGCACACGTTTCCCATGCTTGTTCAAGTCTCTGTGTGAAACTGCTTCTCCAAGTAGACTTCACTTATTTCTAAAGTCACAAATACAGAGCTTCTATGGTCTATACTAGTCTCTACTTCCTATGGAGGCACCTGACAATAGCCCAAAATGAAACGGCAAAAAGAATGATGGGGGAGGGGTGGAGAGTACATGGTTCAGTGGACAGGGTAACTTGCTGCATGAAGTTCAGATCCTGAGTCCAGATATCCCTAGTCTAACTGAAAGGAGTTAGACTGGGTGCAGGGGCTGTAATGCCTGTACTGGGGGAATGGGGAGATATCAGAGACAGGCACACTTGAGAGCCAAGTGGCAAAGTCCAAGTTCAGTGAGAGGCCCTTTCTCATATAATAAGGATGGTAGTGACCTGGGAAGCCTCTAGATGCTGACTTATGGCCTCCACACATATCCAGCCAATCACCATGTACATACACAGATAAAGTGAGTAATTTTAAGATTTAGAGGCCATCAAGAGTTAAAAGACCATTCCATAGCAACGGCAGCATCCAAATTTACATAGAAAAGATAGAGGTCCAGGAAACTCAAGTTTACATATGTGTGTGGGAAAGACATGCGCGGGGTCCGCGTGGTGGAGACCCGCTGGGGCAGGTGGGCAACAGAGTACCGGAGGCTTTCCTGTGGGTAGGACTCAGGAGGGTTCCACATAGGGGAGAAAGTCTGAAGTTTCCAGAGGCTGGAAGCTTTGCAGCGGCAGACCCCAGAAAACACGTGGTGTCCATGGATTTAAGAAGAAGTTTATTGTTCATGGAGTGATAGTTGGATCTGGATGTGCGCTCCGCCCCAAAAGCCAGGGGGAGCTGGCTTAAATCGGGGAGGGGAAAGAGGGGGTGGGAAAATGAATGACTTAATTAGCTTTGCCCCCTGGCCTTTAGATAACTCATGAATATGGAAATCTCTGTTAGTCACACCCTCTACCTGGATGGTGACCCTCTCTGGGAGGGGCTATTTTGAGCCAAACATGTCTGCAAGGCGTAGGTTAATGGGGAAGTATGTAGGCCGCATGTGAGGGTCTGGAATCCGGAAGACCTGACAGTCCCTGACAGGCCATGTCCCTGTTGGGTCTCGGGATATCTCAAACCCAGTGCTCTACCTGGGAGATCAAACCATCCCTTTGCAGCTCCACATATGTGTCTTACCCAAGTTCACATATGTGACAGAGCCCTGATCTCTCCTCTTGGGCTTGTACTGCCTTATCTTCTTTGATGGGGCTATTGTCAAAATTGTATTTATTCATCAATGTTTATTGAGAGGACAGTACCAGACACCAAGGGAAAAACCAAGCATACAATATTTCTTCATTGATGAGAACTGGAGAGATCTCACTACCCAGAAATTTGACTGGTAGGTTTTTAAGTTTGTTTGTTTTGTTTTATTTTGGTTTGGTTTGGTTTGTCTTGTTTATGTGGTCTCCCATCCAAATACTAACCTAATCTGACCCAGGTTAGCTTCCAAGATCAAACACATGATGGATAGAGTGTAAAACTAGACCTTGACATTCAGAACTCCTCACACACACCTTTGTTTTTAAAGTGACTACCACACTCCCAGTCTTAGCTTTGAAGCACCAAGATAAATTACCCCACGAACCTTGACAAATACTTTTACATTTTGCAAGCCATTCTTGATGGATGATGCTTTCTTAGAGTTTTTTTTTCATTAAAGAAAAAAAATTTTCAAAAAGTAAACTCTGCTGATTATTATTTAATACATTGAGGTTTGGACTCTTTTTGTTTGATTGATTCATTGGTTTTACTTGTTTTTGTTTTTATTTGCAGTAGTAACTTCTCTTTAAATGAAAGTCACTGGTA